TGCCTTCTTGAACGCCGGGGATGCATTTTTCTTCAATACAAATTTAGTTTTATGGCCCTTGAAAGTTCATCTTTAAATAAATCTTCAGCAAGGTATCCAATTTTATTTCTATATCAATTGGATTTTCATTTGAATTCAGGCTATTCACATTCTCCTATTTATTACAGTTAACTTTCAATGCTCTGATCCAATCTTTTCTTATTAATGGTGGTCCTTCTTTTTCGACTACATACAATTTCAGTTTTGCAGCTTCATTTCCACATTGAACTTAAACTGGTAGCAGCCCAAGTGATTTTATGGTCACCCGTATACGTTTTCATTTTTACAGCAGTAGGTGTTTATTGGTATTTATTTCCCTGCTACTTTGACAGGTATCCATATGATATTAGTGGCATTAATGAACACTTTTTCTTCTCCATTTACTTTTGCCACTTTTATATTCGATAGAAATTTTGATGTCACTTTATCTGCAGCGACGCTTTTCTCTGCTTCTTTTGTGAAATTTTGTTGACGCCCAGGTCGCGGCTGGGAGTTTCTTCTGTGGTGTGGTTTTGATCTGCACATAAATTAGGTGTGACTTCTTTTATTACAATTCAGACAATATAACTCTATCAGCATTTATCTGGACAATGTCCAATTTTACCACACCTGTAGTATTTCTTTTACGAATTACGCTTCACGTAATGAGCATATTTACTTTCATAATTTGCAGTATTTTTGCCTTGAAGCACTTTTGTATCTTTGGCAGCAGTTTCAACTTCTGCAGCCATTTGCAATGCTTTTTCATATGTTAAATTTTTCTCAGTTATCAATCGATTTTGTATATTATACGGCTGCATTTCAGTCCACTTACGAATTTGTCGCGAAGTGTGTTTTCCAACACGGCACCCAACTCACATGTGGTGGAGTGGCGCTTTAAATCTGCGTAAAAAGCTGACAGACACACTTTCTCCATGTTTTTGACTTCGTTGATGAAAACGAAATTTTTCCGTTTGGATAAGGTTACCATATTTTCGTGACCTCAAAGCGGGACGCCTCCAAAGCCCAAGCTGTGATTTTTTCAACTTTGAACGTACTGATTTTACATTAGGGGCCTATATTTAAAACCATTCCACCTGTCTTCATTGAACATAATGTCATCGAGAGTTCATGTGCTCTCTGTCCAAATTCGAAAAATAGAAAATAATTTACGTTAACGTTGAGCACCCTTTTGGCGTACGGAGCTTGCAATTATCCGACAACAACAACGAAACACACAACACCACCTTCAGTAAGTAGGCTACCAGTACGCTACACAGCAGCGACAATATCGAGAATTGGTAATGTTCGTGTATTATTCGGACTGGCTGAACGCCAAAGCGGGACTTTTGGCTGACCGGTCGGGACGCCGGGACAAGACGTTTAAAAGTGGGACTGTCCCGCCTAAAACGGGACCTATGGTAAGCCTACGTTTGAACCAGTGATTCTGGCGACAAGTGATCTTTCAACACTTCACAAAGTTCTGCAAATGCTTTAGTGGCAGGTTTTTCAGGCGCAACCAAGTCACGTACAAGCATGAAGGTTTTACGCCCAATGACGCTAAGGAAAACGCTGATCTTTGTCCTGTCATATTTTCAGGCGGTTCTGTTACAAAAACCGGCTGAATCCCACTACTGTATGTAACTCATTGCTCAAGATGCTCACACGATTCTTGGAAGCCACGGGAGACGTATTGAATATACATTAAGAAAGATCGCCCAAGAATTAAAATGTTTGACAGAGGGTGAAGTTGCAATTGTAAAATATTTGTCAAAAAATGTTTCTTTCGCGACATTCTTCAACTAATCTTTTTAATAAGACTGCTAAAGATCTTGAAAATGGCATCACTGAGGAGCTGCCTATGAAAAAGTTTAAAACGATCATACAATGAATAAAAAAGGTATATATTAAAAATATACTATATTGTCTCTAATCACTGTAAGTACTCAACTAATATTTATAAAATTACTTGTTACTTGAGTGATTTTTTAAGCGTAGGCTACTTGAACCCAGCACTTGGTATACGACTATGACAATTCCAATATATTTTCTGAATAAGAGCACAAAATAACCCAAACTTAGTAGATGTCGTTATCAGTGAAAATTTAGAGAAACAAGAGAGCGACGCTCAAATATATGGACACGAAAGCCAAAACGAAATAGTACGGGTATGACTTTACAGTACAATATAGTACAGTACTGCCGGTACCGCAGTAGTCACCTGATCACAAGCTAGCAATGGACGCAAACGCAAGGTGCGCAATCCTAATTCCCAATACCGAATAGAAAGAAATCAATCTGACTCAAATTTAAAATTTCCAATGGTACCACTTCTGAAACAGTCGCCGCGATTACTTCTCCTTAATGCTTGTCTCACATTTGCACAACTAAAACAACATGGCAATCTGCAAACATAAAAATGTGAGAAACACTATCAAATAACATTCAGTGTTGATACGTATTGCGAATTCGTCATCGCAGTTAGAAAAATCTTAAGATCTGCTATCAAATCCCAGAGAGTACGATTTAATTTAGGTGAATAAAAATACATATAAAGTAGTAAAGAGCCGACGTTTTTGACGGATAATGATCATTTTTTGTACAAAGTAATCAATCCATACGTGCGTATTTAAAATGTCTTGCTTTATTGATTTAATTGTGTTTAATTAAAGCTGTGGCAGCTTCGACAAAATAAAAGCATTATCACTCTGAAATACTACGACAATCTGCGGACATAAAAATGTGTGGTAAAGTCCATTAAGTCTCCGATTTTATCGTGTTTTGCGATTTCGTGAGCTCGAAAAATCTGAACTGTTCTTGCAGCACTTTATTTTAAACATATTTAAATTGGACAAATCTCTTCGTCTGCGATAAAATTCCGCGAAGCAAAATTTATTTTAGTACAACAAAAAATTGTTTAACTTAATTTTAGAATTAATCAAAGGTACCTTGCGCACACAATTGACTGTGTTTCAATTTGCAATGACTGTATCGTTTCTAAAGCCAATTATTAAATATGTGCCGTAGGCACATGGGATTTTTCAGCTTACAGTATCTAAAATAGTGCTTTTAAACTGTCGCTGGCATCCTAAATCGAAACTTACGGTGTTTCCGTTTATGTTTAGTATTTTGTATTGCCGCTTTTTAATCAAGAAAATTTGGTTTCGTCACTCACTCCTTTAATTATCTTAGCATCTCGTCGCCGATGGGTATTATGATAACTCTTCTTTCTCACTGGTTTCAAAGTTTCATGCGGGGAAAAAAAGTAAAACCCACTGTGCTCAATACACATACATATACGCTGGGGAAAATTTGTCATTGACGGGGAATAAACACCGACGTAAAGGTTTTTACGGCTTAAATAACACGTCACAATGACGAAAACAATCAGCGATTTTACCAAAATACAAACGCACGCGTTGTCAGCGACTTTTTCACAATCCTCCACTGCGAATTAGCAAAAATGACGCTTCAAAAGTCAACAATATTAGAAAAAAACCTCTAAAATAATTGGATAATCGAATTTCGATCTTTGAAACGCTTTCGCAGTGATGCGGGTAATGCAGCACACCTTTCTTAGTGAATACATACATTTTCTAAAATGAGGGAACCTGTTGTTAGTGAATTGGATACAAAACAAAACCTGTTCTTCAAATATTTGGCATAATTTAAAATGGTTTTAAAAATCTTTCTCGATATCCATCTTCTGTCAAAATACGTATTCCAAAATGTCTCTGAAGCTCTATTTCGAGGTTCAGCTTGTATATATTTAAGTCCAGTAAATGAGATACGTTATAAAATTTGGACGCGACACAATAGTAATTAATGTATGTAGAAATACTTTTTTGAAGTAACACTAAAGCCCAAAATAGGGATTTACTTGAATCCAAATCGCCAACACAAACATTCCAACCAAGACTCCTTTACACCTCTGCTTCTGTCCCCTACTTTCAACCTGCGACCTCTGTTCTCTACCACGCTTTCGCCCAGTGCACTCTTAAATCCCCGATAAATATATACTGCAAATCACTCATAAAACACATTCAAAAGGCCCCCAGTAGAGTCGCGTCTCCAGTTTTAGAAAATATCGCACACCACGTCTAAGAGCTATCGCTGTGGTAAGGATGTCACGAGAAAGCGCCAAAAACGATTTCTAAATGGTCATTCATTTGAAATATATAGCATCACGCTCCTAAATTTCCCAACGAAAAGGCTTGGCGTCCTGAATAAGCTTTACTGCTGCCCCTTAGATGCTTAGTTCCGCATGAGCTCTTGTCCAAATCTGAGAAACCACAAAAAGCATTCATTCATACGCAAGTTTCTCAATACACCAACGCTATCTCAAGTTTAGAGTCTCCATGAAAATAAAATGTCAAACACGCCACGTTACTTTTTTACTGCATTGACTATTGTTTGGTTGACATAATAAGAAATCTCGCTCTCCCATTGCCATTAGAATCCATTCAGTGTGAAACAAACAATTGCATAAGACTGTGCTGACAATACATGCAATTTTAATATGCAGTCTCTCCCCAAGAGAGCCTGCTTTTTTAGTATTAAAAATTGGCGATTTGGGTTATCAGTCGCCCATAACAAGAACCTGTGCAATAAACGCAACGCCTAAACTCAATCGAGTCTATTCTGAAACACAACCTTATGGCTCGGCGAAACACGTAATTGTGAAGTTGAAGGCCAATAATTTACTAGCAATGCAATGCTATGGGTTTCTTCGTTTGTGTTTGTATATTTCGTCGATCATAAAAAAGGACGATGCCGGTCTGCTGACAATAAAAAGATATCATCGGTTGACAATCTTCTTTGGGACAATGTGAATAATTGAGTGCTCGGTCTACTGACTCTCATGGTACGTGATCACAAAAATGTTATAAAAACTCAACAAATGGTTACAACCTTTGCCCCAAATGGTATGAAAATACTAGAGTATCATGAAGAGTAAAAACGATAGAATTATGAGAAAAGAAAATGATTCCAAAATTTATTAATAAAAAAGTGGCCATTTCATCCCTTCGAACGCAAACTTGCAGTAAAGATATTGAAAAGATAACCCATTTCACCCCTTCAAATGCAGGATTGGAGTAAAGATACTAAAACATAACTCAAATCAGGCCAATGTATAAAAGGTGTGATATTTTGGGCATGATATAGAGTTGCAGCCAAAGATAAAAAAACTATGTCAACAATATAGGCTACATAGTGATTCATTCAGCACAACAATAGCTTCTATCCATGGCCTGCCTGTATGCCAATCGAACACGACAATCAAATGTTTATAGTTTTCATGTCAAATTGGATGATAAATCCACCTGAAATCATTGCTTTTGTATTAATTAAAAACGTCTAGGTCAAGTGTGCCCCAATTGATTCAGTTCCAGTCCACCCATTGGTTGATAGAAATACCACATGGAATTAGACAACTCATTCAGACGATAAGTGCACAATTTATCATGGTATGTTTAGAATTAAGAATTTCATATTTATCATAAGAATTATTTCATATTTTATTTGGACTCTGCATTACAAATCAATGAAAATCTCACTCTATAGTTCATCATGAAATCGGCCGATTCATAGGAAAATCAGATACACATTAACATACATGAATCAAAAAGACAATCTTTGAAACAATATTCCAAGTATTACATTCTATCTCTGAATAGTTCATACACAAGGATAAAAGCACTTATCAAAATCTATGATATAAATCAATCTAGATGACTTATTGATACTGATCAAATAGCATCAGATGATCAGATACCAAATTACCTTGGTCCTACTGTATGTGGCAAACTACTACAGTCCAGGATCACCCAACTCATGCTATGTAACACACTTAGAAGATGATGAAACATAGTTGAACACAAGGGTTGCGATTTTAAGCTCACAACTGCCTTTAAATTTCAAATGTGATATCACATCATTTTTCAGCTCATACTCAGTCATAAGTTTTAGCACTGAGGTACTCAGCTTCTAACTCTTTTTGATGATGGACCATTAGCTCTCTCAGGGCTTTTAGGCTCTGAAGGTTCTATGAATGGAGCTCTTCCTCCTAGTTCATAAATATCAATAATTTCCCTCCACTCATCCATTGACATTGATACCATGACTTGATTACATTTTTTTTCGGTTTGAGTATTATCTTCCTCATTTTGGTTGACTGGCTCAACAACTGGTATTTGATTTTCATTTAAAAACACACGAACAAAGCCATCTTTGACGAGAAATGCCATGTGAAACATGTTTTCAATAGTATGACCGAATGAATCTGGATTTACAACAAGTTCAAAATAGTCTATTGGGACTGGATCTTGTTCATACATTTGTTGAATCACTCCAAGCACTCTTTCAATTTCTTCTGGTGTGGCTTCTTTTCGATCACCCTCGAAATGTGTAAGGTGCTGCGGCTGTGTTTTAGTCCCTGTATCATTATCTATGGGGTCAGACTGTGTGTGTCGCCTTCTTAGTGCACTGTGCTCAAATGTACCAGACATAACATTCAATACAGGGTTCACGCTAGAAAAAAATTTAGAGGAATATTGTCCGAAATTTTCCCATCCTTCTGAAGTGATATGAACTTCATCTTCTTCTTCACCAATATAACGCCCATCCATTCTGGTCACTAATTTTTCCATGAATTCCTCAGGTTGAAATGCCACAAGATCTGTTTGAAGTTGATTTGTTGTTTGTCCCGCAATAGACACTGATAATGCCATAAACCGTGAATCTAAAGCTCCCTCCCTCGTTGATTTCACCCTTTGAAATAGAGAGTTTGCTTTTTTGACACGATCCAATAAATCTCCACTTTCTGGTTTTACAAATTCTTCCTTTTTGTCTTGGACTTCACTGATCAGTTTTCTGTATTCTTGTCGAATCTTCAACCTTTCTGCACGTTGGATAGGTGTCATAAATTTGCTTGATAAAGATGAAATCTCCATCTCTTCATCTCCGTTTTCTGCCATGTCTATTTTGATGAGATATACACTGTATTCTAGGACTATAACCTAAAACAACATTGAATTGATATAGTCAAATAGGCACCAATCCTTATAGTAAAGATAATGTAATTATCTTACTACTATTGGCATATCAATTATATCAAACTTTCCAAATCAGACAATAACCAAATTCTCCAACTTAAAACAAAGAATAAGCAAGTCCAAGAACAAGAAGTATAAAATAATTTATTAATGCAAATATTATTATGTATTATATATGTATATTGATTTTTATAAAACTCATAGAATGATACATTAATTGAAAACACATGTACCAACTCAAAATGTCAGTTCTCCTACTAAAACTTCCGTTTTACATAGACCTAATTATTGTAATATTTATTTTATTTCAAAAAACATGTTTGTAAAATTCTTTCAAAAATGAACAAAACTAAAATATTATAAATTTTGCACAAAATCCCTGGATTTATAAGCAGTATTTTGCCAAGAAAATTCGTGCCTTACACGCCAACTAGCACAGTTTTCACAAAATTTGAATGTATGAATGATACAGTAATAGATAGCATACAAGGAATTTTAAGCCTTCTCAACCCCCTGCGAACCCAGTTTCCTCAATACGCATTTTTATAATTGATGAAAAATTCTATCGCAAACAAGAATACATGCGGTACCGGTATATCATTATACTGTTACGTTATACTGGTATATGACTACTGGGCTATGACCAGAAGACAGAAAAAGTCTGAGTCTTACAGTCTTATGGTTGAATTTATGCGCAAACTAATTTGGCTACAAAGTTAAGTAAAAGATGTATCTTTGTATAGTTTCAAGATGCAATTAGCAGTGTTTGGGAATGATAATTCAAGTACCGGTACCGGTACGGTAAGTGGGGGTTTTTTTCGTCATGAGCGATGAGTTCATAAGTTGACAAATGACTGCATGAATTTGCAAATGCAATCAGCTCATACCCTAGAATTAAAAAACGGAAATTGAGGAGCTAACAAACAGAGGAGGGTTTAAAATTTTATAGGGGTGTTCACGCAGTATAATACTGAGATACCGGTACCTGACGACGTCTGATCTATGTCTCGAGCATTGGGCTAAATATCGATCTCCCGCTTTTAAATTATACAGGTACCGTACCTATCTGTATATAATGTAAATCAGTACTTATAATAGGCTCGCCTCTGCTACGGGTAGCTGAATACATGAATGAGATGTGTGCGGAACAGACTCAATACAACAATACAAGGGGTGGAGGCTAACTCGCCATGCGACGGCGGTTAACGGGTACCGGTATGCCTGCAACTGCACGAAGGGTCTTCTTGTAATGGGAGATGGAAAGGTGGCTGTTTTACTTACAACTTCAATCGTGAGGGCAAATATAATAAATTGAACGTGTTTGGTTAGAATACTGTGCAAGGGATAACAAAGTGACAAGAAAACCTACGGTACTCGACACGCAAAGGATGTCTCAACTTATCATTTTCATCTAAGCATGCTAAATATATCACCATATTAATTGATTGTGTGAGTATAAATCAACAATACCGGTGTACGGTATACAACCTAACCTAGTTAGTTACAAGAGTTTTATTTCGCTACCGCCAGTCTCATTTTATTCTAAACGCGAGCTCGAGAGAGAGAGGGCTAACTCGCCATGTCTATTTTCCCTATATTTGTTGATCGACATCGCGAGTTTGAGAGAGAGAGAAAATTTATTATTTGTCAACCAGAAAAACAAGCGAGCAACAGTAATAAAAATATACAACAATAAAGTTATTCGGTATAACGACTAACATACCGGTATAGACCGGGAGGAGCGATACGGTCATCAGAGTCAGCTCCCCCCCATATTCATTATTTGATATTATGTATAATATTTTTTTGCTTGCAGAGGGATGTCAAAGTAATATATAAGAAGACAAGTGAATAATAAATAAAAATGTAAATAATGATAATAGTATGAGTCGATGTAACAGTAAAATATAAAGCAGCATCGTAATTTCACTATCACAAGATATGTATTTAAAAAGCACCATTGGCGAGTTGTACATAAATAGGAGGAGAATGATTTATAGGGAATAGTACTAGATTAATATATCAAGTCAAAGGGTCTCGAATGTAGAGCAATTCAACCTAAACACAACTGGCATTTAACATTGCCAGTTGTGTTTGAGGATTTGTTTTAATGTTAAATGATTGACATATGTTTTATGATTGAGTAAATAGTTGATTTATATCAGACACTATGATTTGACAGATGCGAAAAATTTTCACATTTTGACAGGATGTACTATTGAGTTGGTAGTATTCCACAACTATAATGATGGAATGAGACCAGGAGGAAATTATTCAATGATGTCTAGAACCACAGTAGGCCAGAACGAGTTGTATAATATATACAGGAAGTACTCAAGACATGTATGCTCAAAAGAAGAGTATAAGCTGCAATATACTATACATAATATAAATATTAATATACCTAGGACCCGTTCGATCAAATATGATATAATAGACTTACAATTTGTAATAATGAGTTTCAATTTGAATGAAAGAAGTACAATGTTAGGTGACACCACCTTGGAATAACACAAAGGCTAAACTCTAAATGATCTCCACTATACAAAATACCATATTCCAGAATCTGAATAGTTGCGAAAGATTTATCATTATTGTTCAGTCCCTTATCAATTTTTATAATCCATATTGCCCACATATAAGGGCAGATGTCCCAGATTCGTATGGACTCAACGTAGGAAGTGAATGTAGCCTTTTTTATCAGTATATACAATAATAATGATTTGGGACGTATAGATGCAAGTTTGAACACAGAAAATTGGATGCAGCAACTCATATCAACATATACAATAATAATGATATGGGATATAAATCCTTTAGATTGGATTAATATTATAAATGCAAGTTTGGTTTAACATAGAAAATAGAATGCAGCAATTCATATCAACATATACAATAATGATAATTTAAGAATTTTAATCCAAGTTTGGTTTAACACAGAAAATACGATTCAGCAATTTATATCAACATACGGTAATGAACGCACGCCTTCAACCTACAGCATAAATTGTTTAATTTTATAGGCCAGAACTAAAAAATAAATTCAGGAGAATAAGAGCCAATTTACCGTACCTATTTTCCTAAAGTACTAGTAACATATAAAGAGTAACTGTAAATATCGTGGTTGAGAAATGTCTGCATGTCATTTAAGAAACAGTAATATGCAATATTACATGAACAATTTTTAACAATAATATATGAATAATAATTTACATAACTTGTGAGACAAATGCAATTCAAGTCAATATTTGATAAGCTAATGTAGTGGAATTGCGAGAAATTGTGAACAATAGAAAAATTTTCACAGCAAGTCTAGTAATAGTCTATATAAATAAAAATAATGTAAACTCTAGACATGTGAACTCAAATAAAAGTTCAATATGCTATACATTTATATGTGAAGAACTACCATAGTCACATCAAAATTCAACGAAGAAAACCTAATTACAGGTTACATATAATAGCAAAATTTCATCCAGATATCTGCTGAACTGAACAGATATTGAATTATGATATAATATACATACAATGTGATATAGTAGATTTCATTTTAAATGACAGCAGTACAATTTTAGATACCACCATTCAGTGGCGGCGCGTGGTCATTTTGACAACCGGGGCAAGCTACTGCGGGACCAAGTCACCCCCCATCTACGGGGACAGGATGAGCGCTGTAAGTTCTCCCATCATTTTATGAGTATAAAAACCATTCCATCGGTAACAACCAATCGGCAAAAGCGACAATTTTTAACGATAAGAAAGTGTCTTTAAAACCGGTCCAAGTCAAGGGATTAATTAATAAATATAGACATAGTTTATTTTGAAACCTCTTTCAAAAAGAAAGGCAATATTTACCCAGATAAACACAATGACATATTAACAGAAACTTCCGGAAAGCAGACAAAACCTAAAATAAGGTTAAAAACGTTACTATGAAGAAAGGAAAGTTAATGCAAAGATAAGGACATGCGTCGCTCACTCATAGATATATATGCTGCTAGACTTCTACTGCTTGAACATATATGCAACACGCCGGTAGCAAAAAGTAGGCAATAAAAACAAAAAAGTGCATTTTTGTCCTCGCTGTAACACAACCATTCGTGTTTTTTATACCAAGTTTCTGTGCAGAATGTACGCCGACGCTTTCCTCCGTCATGGGATTGTTCCAGTGAACAATTTTTTGGTTGATAAGGCCCAAGACGTTGTACCTCTAATTTTTGTTCCAGCGGCAGCTGCGAAAACGGAGTGCGAAGTAGTGCATCAACCTTATTCATTATGAGGTCTAAGGCTAAGAAATGCGAAGCCGGAAAGAAGTGAGGAGCTCAAAAGGAATGTGGAAAATCGAAAGCAAATGGACTAAACGTCTCTAACTGATTCAAATAGCGAAACAAGCGACAAAAACGAAGGCGAGGAAACTATCAACTCTTCAAGCAACCAACGAACGAGAAGGAATGCGTGAATATGTCAACACGTTGTTGTAAGAAACGTCGGCATTGTGTCGTCATAATTTCGGGGCTAGCCCCGATCGGCCCTGATGATTTAGTAAAAGAAACAGAAAACAAACGAGACAAACGCGGCGAGTGGAAGATAAAAGAGAGAATACGATATACAATGAGCAACCGGGGCAAAATCGGCGTCGCCCCGTCGACGTTCGGCGAAGGCTTTGCGAGCGAAAAATGGACCATGTCGGGAGAATATGGCTAGTGTAGACAGTCTGTGCAACCGATATTGAGGTATTTTTCGAATATTTTTTATTATACCGAAAAAACAACAGGGGCATTGCCCCGGTTGGCCCTATTGACGCGCCGCCACTGCCACCATTTACTATAAAACCACACACACTATTACTAGGTCTAGATGATTTCCACTGGACAAAATTGCATAAATTAGAATCAGGGATAAGGAATTGCCGTCCAATTTAATCAGGTAACATTGTATGGGTTTATGGTAACTACTACAACTTCATATCATGTCAAAAGGTACAAATGCTGAATAGTCAATAGTTGGCTTAGAATGGAAACTGTTGATGTTACATACATTGAAATTACTCTTGAACTGTATATCTATCAGATCATGAGAAAAATATAATGTCCTATATAGGAAAGAGCTGAATTAATAGATTATATTTGCAAAGATAAAGATGCAAATCGCGAGTGAAATGGGTATTGAAATGTAAAAAAGACAACACAGAGAAGTTATCTCTAGATTTATTAATATTTATTTATGAAATACTTCATATAATTATATTTTCAACCGCTATGAGACGATTCTATGATGTCATCTGGGATAGTGTTCTAAATACTTGGACCAGTAATTTGAATGGAATTCCGGGCCAAACTGGAACTTGTCCTATTAACAAAATATGCTCCTCTACCCGCTAAACGAGTGTTGTATTGGTGGACTCTACTACAATTTGTGAAGTGGCTATCAAAAATTTCAGGAAGAATTCCATGTTTAAATTGAAACATGATTTTCGCTATTTCGAATTTATATACATCAGTCACTGTAAGAATATTCATCTTTTTATAAATGAGACTTAGGCTTACCCGCAGACGTGTACCACTCATCAACCTTAACGCACGATTTTGAAGTACTCTGATCCTATCCAGATAAGTCTTAGGGGCAGATCCCCATGCCACAATTCCATATTGTAGATGTGACTAAAATATACAATTCTTAAAACCTTATCAGATACAAAGGGTCTCAGTTTGGACATAGCGCCAATAGCTCTGGACAGACTACCTGCAAGTTGGTCAATATGCCCTTGCCAGTTGAGCTTATTGTCTAGAATAACTCCAAGATATTTAGCTTGTTTTTAATCAGCCATTCCGATATACTATGAAGATCCCTATTAACTAAATATTCTAGGCAGGAGAGGTTTTTTGCGGCGAATGTAGCACTAGTATCATCAGCGAAAAGTTTAATTGGAGCCCTAATGGCATTGACAAAATCATTTACATGAATTAAAAACAGGGTAGGCCCCAATACTGAGCCCTGGGGGACCCCTACCGACACCCTTTCACTTATTGATTGACAACCAATCAAAAATACAAATTGACTTCTGTTTTGCAGATAACTTACGAACAATTTTATTGACCACTCCCCGAATTCCATAGTGATTATGTTTTGTTATTAAGATATCATGATCCACTGTATCGAATGCTTTTTTCAGATCCAAAAATACGCTACAACCCAATGAGCCTTCATCTATAATGTTATAGTAATGACTGACAATATCAAGTATAGCATGTGGAGTGCAATGCCCATTTCTAAAGCCGAATTGGTCCCTATTTAGAATTGGGTTTTTGTCCAAGAAAGATTTTAGTCTCTTCTTTATCATCGGCGCCGATGCCGTTTCAGGCGATTGTACGTCTAATTGGCAAGCTCTCTGACGTAATTGTGACGACGTAGTGACGTAATTTTTGGATGGCGTCGTCAGGTGTGGGTTAGGATTGATGTCAAAAAATTGCAACCCTAAAATGCGGGAAACGGGAACGACAGGAGAAGCAAAAAAACGCGGGAACTACGGGAAATTTTACAAAAGCGGGAATGACGGGAAATTCTTTTACTGTACGGAAATATGCATTTTAGACTATGTGACGGGTAAATTTGCACTAAAAGGCGGAAGCAACAGAAAGTTTATACCTGAGTGTGGATGTACGGGGTAATTGCACTAAAATGCATGTTTCCTGTATTTGCTGTACGGTGTTTGTTTGATATTAAGTATCATGAGCGGAATGATAAGTCAGAATTTTTTCTCATCATTGTCTCACAATTGTACGAATCTTACTCACTTCATATGAATGCTCTTACCCAGCGCCGGATTAAACAATATAAGCACGTGCTTAGGGCACCAAGCAAAGAGGGGCACCACAAAAATTTTAGAGCAGAATTTTATATAGTTTATCGGTGTTTATTAAATAATTACGAGTTCACCAGACGATTCAAACTTCAAAATGTTCCTTATTTTCCGTCTTCAAGTACCATATTAACCTTCTTTATTAAAAATAAACACTGAAACTTATTTATTGGACACGAAATGGGCCCATGAGTCGTTCTCTTAAATTGTTGTTGTTTTTCTTTCTAGACTTCTCCTTGTTGCTGCATTTTGTTTTAAAAAAATTCTTTCCTCTTCAACAATTGGACCAACGAACTATTTACACTATGTGGCGAGTCCACGATCGCATTTCAACGATCTAGTGGTCAGCGAGGTCGGGAGTTTTTTGATAAAGTAGACCAGGCTGGTCCAAACCCGGTCATGCTGATACATTCCGTGCGGCTCACAGAACAATTTTAGCGTATATTTGTATCTAATGGAGAAACCTTTTCAGTTTTTTTAGCTATTCCAACTGGGGTTGGGATCCCGAGATTCAAACCATTTTTCTAACGCTTTGTGCCTTTATTTTAGTAAAAACACTCCTCTGTTTTCAAGCGTCGACCATGTGACTGTAGTGACGAAACGCAGAGCCGACTTAACGCCGCACAGTTCAGTTTTTTTTTAGCTAGGTCCCGAAATACCAACTCAGACGGAACTAGTTGGTATTTGACGATGGCACTAAGCTTGCTCACGCTGCAAGTTTTTAAATTACTCAATATAACAATGCGTAATAAAATGAATGTCGCAAAAAAGGTGACATGAGGAAAACACGGCGGAAACGTATTTCCTTGCCCATCACACAGTGTCTGGTTTGATTTCAAGTAATATCTGTCACAAAAGAATAAAATTTGAAGCGACATTAAACGCGAGATGCGCAAACTACAACGGTAATTCTCGGGAATAACTTAGAATAACTGAGAGCTTTATAAATCTTCTTTAAAAGAACGCCATTCATGCAACATAATAATAGTCTGATTAGAACGGTAAACTCTCGTTGTTTGTTAAATTTAAAGTAAGTAAACTCGCGATATTTCGATCACTTTTGGGTTTTCTCCGACTTGCGGCCCGCGAGACCTCTTCAAAAGTGTTTGCGGTACTGCAACCTAGCAACCATGAACCACCTGAGGTAGACTACTAGGTACCGGTAAAATTTCAAACTACAGTTGTGACTTGTATCCTTTGGTATTTCGATCCACGTTGAGACTGGAGGCATGAATCTTTATTGTCACAGTCCCTCAGGATTAGAGCTCAACCGATATATCGGCCCGATATTGCGTGTTTGCCGATATATCATATCGGCAGTAAACGGCCGATATATATATATATCGGCTATATATAACAGTTAAAAAACCTAAAAATGTTCGTAAAAGTTGTTTTATTTACTGCTGGTTGTAATTATTTTTAATAGGTAATACACTAATGTGGTTTATTGTTTTTATAATTAAATTACACATGGGGGGGCACCAAAGTCTTCAGTGCTTAGGGCACCAAAGAGGCTTAATCCGCCCCTGCTCTTACCTTATGCTAAACAGCTAAAGCTTCATATCTAACATCACGGGAAAAGCATGATTTCCTTTTCTTATATATACTTACTTCAACTATTTTCCCAGAACATACATAAATGTGCACTAATTCGGAACAGTGGGATAAGTTGGACGAGTGTGGTAAAGTGAGACGAGCGTGTTTCTGGAGTACGAGTGCCTGGAAATGAAAGATGCTCGGATAAAACATGAAATAAATTTGAAACGTGCAAAATTCAAATAGAAAGCTGTTGCCGATGAAGAAGGTACGAGTGTTTCCTGGGGTTGGGATTTCGGAACCTAATATGATATTTCGAGTTAGGGGTTTTTACTAAACAATTCCGGAATCTTTCGCGATAAAAAACTCCTGAAAATTTGAGAAAAGTATACACATTCATTTATTGTCTGACAAGTGTGAGTGCTTCATACAATTTTATAGTTTCTCCTCTTTGTTGTTTTATAGCAGCATTTCTTTCTGTACCACATGACGGTACCATAAGGTCGGCATTCTACTACTTTCTTCGGTAGGTGAATTCTTCATCTCCGGAAAACGTTAGTTTAGTTATTGATGGTTTTACAGTTATGGCATGGCCCGCCATGGAACTTTTCCGGGGATGTACAAAAATGCACGCCACCAGTCATTTCCCGATTTTTTGAACATCGTATCGGTCATTACTGATAAATATTATATTAAAAGCATTTAAACAATATTGTGAGATACTTGACTTAAAAGTAAATATATATATATATATCTAAAATATGAATAACATTTAAAATATAAATTACGAAAATGAGAAGCTTAAAATAGAATCTTGGATGCATGCACCCACACCCGAAAATAGATGGCATAAACAAAACAATTTTAATATCAAGTCTTGAGGGAAATATAACATAAATTTGCATTCGTCTTTAGTTTAATCAAATTGCATTTTAATGGTTGGCAAAATAGAGCTTTTCTCCGTTATTCTTCCTTACGCGTAATTTCCAAACCCTTCCAGTTTCGTTGTAAATCCTTTAACAAATTGTAGCCAGGTATATCAGCAAACTTAATGAGATTGCCTACACGTCAAGATTAAAGGAAGCAATCTGACCAAAATTATGAAAATGCAAATTTATGCTCCGATGACGACATTCTCCATCAGGCCTAATGTTTAAAATGGTTTGTTTACTTTCCATTTTTCGAGTTTCTTGTATACATATATATATATAGAGAGAGAGAGAGATATTCAATTTTGATACAGTAGTTAACTCACTGTGATCATTATATATTCTGAGGGTCACCAACCTTTATGAAACCGAGGGCTTCTTCCTGAATACCGATTAGGCTAATGACTATACCAGTTGGATGCACACTTCTGAAAAGCCAATTTGCTCGATTGAGCTTTAACCATCACTATTAATGGTATTCAACCACGAGGAGACACTGATAAAGTTGAATATAACAATATACGTAATAAAATGATGGGTGAAAGTTGATTAGAATACTTGAGTTGGATATTCCATGTTCAATCACGGTTCTCATATTAGGGTGATATAATTATAACAACGAATAAAATTAATATATGCACCTTATTGATAACCGACGTTATTTGAGCTAATTTTAGAACTAATTTTAATTTTAGGACTTCTGGGCGACTCATGTGGTCCATACGGGCTTTGGTGATTTCTACTGTATTTCATCATTTTTGATATTGCTGGTACTCGCTGACTAAATCTTTGATGTCGTTATGAGCATTTGTAAATTCCAACTCATCCATGCCTTCGCCCTGGTACCAATGCAAAAACGCTTTCCGGCGAAACATTGCGGTGAATTGATCACAGACGCGAGTGAATATTTTCTGAATTTAATTTTAAATTATTTGTAAACATATTTAAAAATCAATACCGTATAAATGGAAATAGAAAATAAATTACTTGTATTGCCGTATTGTTGCATGCGACTGTGGCTGCTTTGTTTAGATTTCCAAGTGGAACTTTAAAGTAATCTGTTAAAAGATTGTCTGGAATCCACGCTGGGAAATTGTTACGACGTTCGTCCTGGATTTTAGCTATTTCTTTGTCTACTTCTACCATCAACACCTGGCCTCTGAACAATGCCGATGCAGATAAGTAACGCCCGTCGGCGGGATTGCAAGACATCAACATGTTTTCTTCGTGAAACAATTGCTGGGTCAGTTCAGAAGAAGTTAATTCATCTCCTTTTTCGCTCGACATAGGAGAAAATCCAGGCATAATGAAGTGCAATCGTGGAAATGGATTCATATTTAGTGCAAATTTGAGTAAAGAATCGTTCAAATTACAGGGAAACCTTAGACTGGTGGTAACACCACTCATCGCAACAGAAATAAAATAATTGAGATCCTTGTAATGCGGAGTTTTAGTCTTCATGGTTTTGTTGCAGATATGGTAGAGAGATTTGTTATCGAAACAAATAACTTCATCAGAGTGTTCAAGCAACTTAGTAATAGACAGCGTCGCATTGTACGGTTCGACAACAGCCTCAGATACCTCAGCAGAAGGGAAAACGCTGAAGTTCATCAACATTCTATCGGGATATAAATCCTTAATTCTTTGTCCTATAAGCGTTCCTAAGCCCGATCCAGTTCCACCGCCGAGCGAATGGCACACTTGAAACCCTTCAAAGCAGTCGCAGCTCTCCGTTTCTCTGCGTATGACCTCCATGATATCATCCAAAATCTCAGCACCTTCAGTATAAAAACCTTTAGCCCAATTATTTCCCGCGCCGTTGGTACCTGAAAGGGTAGGGTCGAGTTGAAATGGAGCAATACGACACCGAGTAAAAAAATAAAATTCATACCAAACATATAGTTGTCGGGACGAAACAGTTGACCAACAGCACATGATCTAGTGCGTACCAGACTGTCGGGCTCGAGGTCGACCAATACTGCACGGGGAACATGGTGACCTGAAAAATAAACATTCAGATACTTTTTTTAAACCGAGTTATAGCGGACAAAATCATCATCGAACCATTCATTTCTCGGAAGTAAACATTGTCCCTTTCCAAAACATTTTTCACTGCGCTAGCATGGTAGAATCCTTTTTCGTTTATTCCGTGCTCCGCAATGAGAGTTTCCCAAAACTTGAAATAAATGGTATTATGATATGATTAATGCAGTAGGTTAAAGAACAAAATTCCAATTACTGGGCCGTATAATAGAAGGTATCACGATTTCGCTAAATTATGATGTGGATAAAGATTTTAGGGACTTGTGTATTGATTCAAGTGTATTTCTCCAAAACATAGTATACACCCTTGATACAATTTTCAATGCAGTGAACGATGATCTTGGCTTGTTTCACACAAATATCACACACAACGTAGTGCCGGTATAATTGTGAATTATTATCGGCCAAAACATCCAAGCACTTTGTGTCTGGGTTGGTCATTACGACCTTGCTCACAAATGAATTTTCTCCATGTTCTACTGACCTTTGATCCTATTCTATTTCCGCATTGTCCCACTTGCAAATGTATTATCTCACGCATTATCTTTTTGGTTTCTTTTGTTGCTATCCAGAACTGTACATATACGTTACTGAACTGGTTGTTGCTGTTATTTCGCTCTTATCTTATATTGCTTCTCAGAAACGAAAAACATTTTACAAACACCGGAAGTGGTTGCAAAGTTATGATGCACTAAGCTCAATGAATCTATACGTTGCAAATAAAACTTTTTACTTAAATTACATGTCGCTACAAGACGCTAATTCAAATTGTTACATCCGAATCTCCTATGGACTTTTCGTTCGAAAATATATGATATGCAACGTCCACCCATGCTTCAATGATGATTGAGGACCAATTATTCGTAGAAAACTTAGATTAATTTACAAAGAAAAGCAGTTAAATTTAATGCTTATTGTGTATGGCAGGCGGTACATTCGTTTCGCAGTGATTCAAAAAACTGTATGTAGTAAGTCATTCGATGAAATACCTATACCTATGTTTTGAACGTTTTATATTAATAATTTATTACAAACGATTGGTTAGTTACGCTTGCCGTTAAGCCAGCTTTTAAAAAAAAATATTCACTACAAAATTTGCATTGAAAATTTCCAAAGGACAATAATAATAAGACATAGGTAGAATCGTAAATATATACCACTACAAATAAATTAGGGGATATGTCGTGGCAATCATGAAAAAAACATTTATCTCAACTCTACCAACCAAGAATACAAAACAGCCATGCGCAAGAGGTCGGATTTAGACTTTAGAGCAGAGGTGTCCAATCCGCGGCCAGCGGGCCGCATGCGGCTCACGGGAAGGATTCGTGCGGCCCACTTAAAGTTTTTATATAAATACGGACGTATAAACATATTTAACAAAAAAAATTTCTGGTATGATATCAAATCTTGTTAAATTTGAGGCTTCAATTTCACGCGGCTCCTCCATGAGAAAAGCGTCGTTAACGCCACAGATTATGATTTTACGGAGACTCAAGCATGCAACATCTGTGGCGATATAATGAATTCTCTACCCATTGCCAAATTGATCACAGACTGCTATGAAAATATACAGGCATTTATCCCAAAGCTTGAACTGTATGAAACTCAATTTGAATTGAAGAAAGCAGTTCATTTTCCATTACTAATTAACTTCTACAGCAACAATATGGATTTCTATAAATATTTGAGACAAAGTCGCAAAGATGTTGAAAGCATTTAAAGAGACATTCCCCTAATTGCAAAATTCGACGGTCTCTTTAAAACTTTGTATGCGTCCCGTTGACATTCGGGTAGAAGAGGCCCCAGAATATACGCAAACAGTTGTTTCAGGGAGATAGAAAACTTAAATTCTACAGTGAGTGTATCAATGAAAATGAGTTTTTCAGCCTGAGAAAAATGGTATTGCAGCGGCAATAGGAAAACATATATGAGCGAATCTTTCTTTTCGAAATTAAAAATTATGAAATCGGAGCATAGGACTAAGCTGTCGAACGACAATTTGGCAAGCTAGTTAGTTACGTTGTGAGGTACCAAAGCTAGCCGTAATATTAAACAGTTCAGCAATAACATTCAAAAGCAAGTTTCGCATTAGTTGAAAAATCAAGAATTGCTGATTTTACTATTTCCTTTCAATTTTTTAATTTTTATGCCAATGTACATTGCTTGAGGGTAGTGCATTCTGCATAAAAGGGGGGGGGGGGGGGGGGGGGGGGGCGCCGTCTCCGGATGCCGTCAAGTAAACGCACCGTGATTGTGACCGAATAAAGCGAGCTTTGGACCTTTTCCCGACCTTTGACCCCGTGAAATTCTTCCCATATTTTACCATTGAAGAGTGGTTTTGCCAGTTGACCCCTGTAAAATGGGGTATTTTTGTTTCTGATCATTCTGATTCTTAGCATTCAACAATCTGTTTTTTAAAAGTACCGGTAAAGAATTTTAGCTTAAGTCTATAACAGCTATTTCTACACTAATTTTTGATTACTGCAATTAAACTGAAACTCCTAAGAGAACAAAGTGATCATTATATCATTTGATATATATTTAAATATTCGAAACATAACTAGAAACTAACGAATAGATTTTAAAAACGCGAAAACGACAACGCCTGAAAATCTGTCTGAACGAGAAAAGTGTCTGAGCGGATGCGAAACTACGTTCCTTTTTGCATCTTGCTGATTGGCAAATGTCATGAAGTAAACAAGGAAGTCGATGCTCGGGGAAACATCCATTCAGTCCGCAATTTCCAGTATGTCCTGTTGATGACGTAGTACTGAGAACTCGTCGGCGTAATTTTGCATTATGTTAAAGGCAATTATGGCGTTCTCTGTACTTATTTTGAACCGTAGGCTATGCTAGTGCTATTGGGCGGTGCATTTGACAAACGCTGCAGTGGTACAAATATGAAATGCGTTATAAGGAATTACGGTAAACTTAAGGTATCGAGGTCAAGATATACTCGAGCTTTGTGCCGTACCTTTGCTGTAACATATTTTTCAGTGAAATAACGCATACGAGGCCATTTTTTTTCTCAAATCATATAGATTTTATAATTTATGTGGGCTTATTCTGCTTTTCTGATTCTGTAACCAGTCCTTATGTTATATTGTCGGTATATATAAACTACATTAGAATCATCATATATGTGCTTTCAAACACTAACGGATGCATAGTTGGTTGTGACTGCAGAATTCACAGTGATGAGTCTGTTCCAAAGCATAAATATGAAGAAAACTGTGTATCAAAAGTTCTCAACTAACCTTTTCTGATGTCTTCATGGAACTACAAGAAGACCTCTAGTTTAAAGGATCGTTTCAGCCTTAGATTTATATTGAAACCCAAGCAAACTCCTGTCGAGCCCGAAACAACAATACCTGACGCAGTTATCAAACCAAGCTTTTATTTATTTTTCAACATTTTCTGATCTATGACACTTTTCAGCAGGCGATCACAGTGTCTTGTTGCATAATAATGTGAAATGAATGAAAAAACTAAACCATTACTGTGATTCTATGGGCGCTCCAGAAGTGTATGTACAAATATGGAGGTAACTAATTTTGTTCGCTTACTTTACATCATGTTGTATAAGAGAACCAAAAACCTACGGGTAAGGGGTATATTTACTTGACTAACACTGACAGTCCCCGAACTCGTAATAGAACTAAAATAAGGGAAATCGGAATAACGATATGGCTTAACCTAGCCTGGTGGACCGCCAAGCATGACATGGTGGGCCGCGAACTCGTTGCCAAATTATTCGTATTTTTTTATATTGTGTGATAAAATTGGAATTATTTCGACCTTTTAATGGGATACCAATGCTTTTCTGATCATAATCCAAATCGATTCCCTCAATTTAGGCTAGGGTGGTGCAAGGTTGTCGGCTTCGTAGTCCAAAAAATTATTTTTGCATTGTTTGCGAGCGCAACCGTGCCAAGAATAGGTAACACATGTCAATACAAACATTTTTATTGTACAAACACATTGATCGTTATTTGTCATGTATCAAGTTGAAACATGCGAAAAACACCAAAAAAATCACTAAAACGTGCAAACGTTTTTCCATATATCTACATTTAGTGTCGGAGAATGTGCTTTCGCGAATGTAAGTGATTTTGAACATCGATAAGATTATCAGAGAAAAATTCCTTAAATTTTGGAAATGCTCATTGCTCACATGATTGCAAAATGATTTTATATTATATTTTCCATTAACTGCATATTAATCGATTACCAAGTTTTACCAAATGTGAGGTACAGGAGAGTAATAACTAATTATTTTTTACATATATATAGGAAGCATTTTTTGTATTACTGTTTAGGCTGGTAGCACAAAATCACTGAAAGGAATTATACTTAGGCCATAACATCATTATTAGTTATCGCATTTAGTTATTATATTGTTAGCGTATACTTCAGCCAAAAATATAGAAAGCCAGTGAACAATTTGAACTAGCCAAGCACATTATTCAATAATTGCGATTTTTTGATTGCCATCCAGCAAATGCGACACGGGTCATAGAAATGATGCTGCGGGCCACATGCGGCCCGCGCCATCCTGATTTAGGCGCTCCAGCGTGACTGGATGCGTCTGCTGTCATATTCAGTCATTCATGCCATTTATACGATGGTGGTATTGGTATTTTAAAGTAGTAATGCTTATATTTTCCGTGAGTACAAAAATACAAATCAAAAATTAATTATAATATATCAGTTTACGACATATTTCATGTCCGCAGATTGCAGCCGTATTTTAGACTAATGATGCTTTTATTATTTCGTAAGTCGACGCAACCATGAATTACGTTGAACAAAATTAAATTAATATACAGCACGGCATTTTGAATGCTGGTATCGGTCATGGACTTAAATGGGTATCGTACAAGTTAGGGCTTTAAATAGTTTTCAATTTTTCGACGTAATGAAATGAATGCGTAAATAAGAAAAAGTGAAAGGCTATATTATCCGAAATTGTTCAAAAATTTGCCAAAAAGTAGTCGATCACTTTGATATTCGATTCGTTTTGGACAACCATGCCTCGATATATTCTGGCCCCTGAAGAATGAAAAATGTTAATAAATGTGGTCCGCGAAGTAAAACTCGCCGTGAAAGTGAGCCGCGATATAAAAAAAAAAGGTTGGGAAGCACTGATTTATATACCTTTATAATTATTCTTTACAAATTCGAAACGACTTAAACGTGAATGATATCTTTGAAAGTGGGGAATCAACACCCAGATTGCGAATAAAAGTTCTGTAACCAGTTCTTAGTACGGAGTCACAAAAGGTCTTTTCGAGCCCCGGTCGATTCTCGTTGCAGCGGCTTTTAACTGGAGCGCGACACTAACTTCGATTTAATGAAGAGTGTTCTAATGAACAATGAATAACACTAAATCACTGTCTCGAAATTTTATTCATTCCCGGAAGGAAGGCACATACTTTTGTCAAAAATAGCATTTAAAGGCATTAACAGAACAATTAGGGTAGAAAGTTGAAACTCTATTAAGTGGCAGGCTCAATATTATAACATTGCACTCAAAGAAGGGCGGGCACTGCATGAACGCTAATGACGATATTCAAAATATTCACAAGGTGGAACGTGTCCAAGCGGGACGTAACCAACCATGCGATGAAATAATTGGCCAACTAGGAATGGTGATTTAGTTCAATAAGAAAATGCTAGTAAATGTTGAGAAAAATATGACAATGACACAAAGAAGATGAATACAAAGCAAACAAGAGCAGAAAAAACTACAAGATCGTGCTACCATCCAGTTGTCATAGACAGGAGACTTGTCAAATAAACATTTCACAAACGAGAGGCCGTGAACACATGAATCTTGGTACATTGAAGATTCTTTCACAACGTCCGACAATCATGTGATATTTTCTATTGGTCGTGTTTACATTGTAGATGTAGTTAAGTGGGAAAAGATGGGGATGGGTACAAATATACATATATAGTGCGTATAGGGTAAGCATTTGAAGATGGAACTTCCAGCTTATGCTCCTTCGTCATATTCCTCTTCTTCTTCGTCAAATTCGCCTTCATCTTCAGCAGTAGCATCTTGGTATTGCTGGTATTCACTGACTAAATCATTCATGTTGCTCTCTGCTTCCGTGAATTCCATCTCGTCCATACCTTCACCGGTGTACCAATGCAGAAACGCCTTGCGGCGGAACATGGCGGTGAACTGTTCAGAAATGCGTTTGAAGAGCTCCTGGATATATAAAAAAAAAACTATGCGTTAAGCAAATCGAATAAACCCGAGCATGTTAAACATTATTGAATATTTAATGATTCTATTCTAGTGATGCTGTGTAGAAAAGAAAAATCTTGACGAACCTGAATAGCTGTGCTGTTACCAATGAAAGTTGCTGACATTTTAAGACCACGTGGAGGAATATCACACACTGCTGTTTTGACATTGTTGGGGATCCATTCCACGAAGTAGGAGCTGTTCTTGTTTTGCACGTTCAACATCTGCTCATCCACTTCTTTCATCGACATTCTGCCACGGAACATTGCTGCAACAGTGAGATATCGCCCATGTCGTGGATCACAAGCTGCCATCATATTTTTCGAGTCGAACATTTGCTGGGTAAGCTCTGGAACTGTCAGGGCTCTGTACTGCTGACTTCCTCTGCTTGTGAGGGGAGCGAATCCCGGCATAAAGAAATGAAGACGAGGGAAAGGCACCATATTTACGGCGAGTTTACGAAGATCGGCATTCAACTGTCCTGGAAATCGAAGACATGTCGTGACGCCACTCATGGTAGCTGACACAAGATGGTTCAAATCGCCATAAGTTGGAGTTGTTAGTTTCAACGTGCGGAAACAGATATCGTAAAGTGCTTCATTGTCAATACAGTAAGTTTCATCGGTATTTTCAACAAGTTGGTGAACGGACAGCGTTGCGTTGTACGGTTCGACGACGGTATCGGAAACTTTTGGAGACGGGACCACGCTGAAAGTGAGCATAATTCTGTCAGGATACTCTTCACGAATTTTACTGATTAGAAGCGTTCCCATTCCCGATCCAGTACCACCGCCAAGTGAGTGAGTCAGTTGGAACCCTTGAAGACAATCGCATCCTTCTGCCTCTTTGCGGACGACATCGAGCACACTGTCTACCAATTCAGCACCTTCAGTGTAATGACCTTTTGCCCAGTTGTTGCCAGCACCACTTTGACCTACAACGGAAACAAAACTGACAAGTTATGTAAAACACTGAACACAGATCGACATTGGAATCCACAAATAAATCCACAATGCTTACCAAAAACAAAGTTGTCCGGGCGGAATATCTGTCCAAATGGGCCTGATCTCACGGAGTCCATGGTTCCTGGTTCTAAATCTACCAGGACTGCTCGAGGTACATACTTGCCGCCTGGAAAAAAAAAAAGAATGACATGAAAATATTCACCTAGAACTAATCTTATTATTATAGAGCTTTCCATGACATCGCAAACCATACGTCAAACAAAAATGCCAACTCATTATGTTGCAACGCACAAGAGATCGCATACCTGAAGCTTCATTGTAGTACACGTTTATTCTTTCGAGTTGAAGATCGCTGTCGCCATGGTAACTACCAGTTGGGTCGATGCCATGCTCATCGGAGATCACCTCCCAGAACTAAAACAGAAATATACGTCAGTTTCAACACCTATACGAGGGATAAAGATTAATAAATCTAAGTACCATCTCAATCCTGTTTCTCTTTACTTTCTCAAGCTCGTAAAATAGCGTCGTAGAACACACGAGAATTTGATTGATTCCAGAATATTTATTTAGTCTTTGAAGTGAACCAAGCAAATTCAATAAAAACTCACTTACGCACGAGCATTCGACTGATTTCGAAAATATTTATTTAGCCTTTGAAATGTACCGAGCAATTTTAATAAAAAAGTCAATATAATAGGTATGGGCAGAGCGGGCTAGTAAAGATTTCAATGAATTCCACTTGTAATTACTTTCAAGATTGATGGTTATCCCATTTAACTTGACACAACCAGTCGATACTGGTTTCGTAAGCAATTGCAGTACATACCAGTAGGAAATAGAAGGCACGGTTCTTCAGTAATATATGGCCAAGCGAACATTGACAACTCAACCAGGAAGAAGACAATACAATAAATTAGCAAATAAATTGGTGAAAGGAAGTCTCTACATACATACCTTCGCTCCAATTTGGTTTCCGCATTGACCTGCTTGTAAATGAACTATTTCCCGCATGTTTTTTTTTCTTGAGAATTATTCAAATGACTAAAAGTAGTTTAATCTGCAATAGCAGAGAGCAAGAGATAAAATGATCAATTTTATTTATCGCCCATGGTCTTGCAACGCATACTAAGGCAAATGCGACGACAAGATACAGAGATAAAATACTGTAAGAAAGAAACCCGTTGCGAACAGTCGAAAGCGAGGCGATGAAATATTAAACACAGACCTGTGGACGGTTACAGCGTGAACGCACGCTCCATGCTGCCATGTGCAAGTACAGACAGACAAGCGTACTACAGAACTAACCCATACCATGCTCCAAAATCTGAGAACATGATGTCATTGATCGATCGCCCAAAATTACAGAATTAATAACAATGCAAAGCCAGACTATGGTCGACAATACGAATGAGATACCATAATCACACAATTCGCCAAAATATTATAGTTCTGGAGTTCCAGCTAAATAAATCAACTGGAAAACACAATTTAGAGCAAGATAGTCGAAAACCCACACTGGCAGACTGGTATTCGTTCTGACTTAACTTTATCGATTTACATAAATAACGGGGCTGTATACGCACCACGCTAATGGAGGGCGACTAGCTGACTTCTTGTCTGACACAAGAACGGTTAAATGAGAATTACAAATGTGAGGCTAATCTCAACAAGCCGATGCGACATTATTTTTCAGTGGCTCAACAGACGGAAAGGCATGTTCTAAATTTGAATTCTAAGTTTGCAACGTCGGCGCCACTTTATTGCACCAATCACGTTTGCTCAATGCGGTAAATAGAACAGGATGTTAAAATTGCAACATATTCATCCGCTTCAACCGCCTGAAACTCGTTTATCCTTTTGTTTCCTTTATTAGCACTGTGCGTCACGCGGAGGGATTTTATGGATCACTTATTTCAGCGCTGGCGGCAAATAAAGGACAGCCACGGTGACGTAATTCCACAGTATGTCGCAAGCGCAATGTGCGAAAGCGTGAATTGGCAACCCAGTCCACTTCAGATATTAAGTATGATAGCATAGTGTGGACCTTTAAGCCATCGAAACCTGCAGTCGCAACGCTATGGTCTACTACCTAATATAATCAGACAAATGTGCAAGGTTGAAACGCAAATCCGAAACTCAGACGACTATGAAAATACACATGACTTTCAAATTTTGGTTGATGCGTTTACGCTAAAAACACTGGCGCTGGTTCAGCAGTCACTTTATGGGTATACAAACATGCGACATTTTATCCCAATGTTTACGACATTTTGCTATAACATTTATGACTTCGGAGATGTTTACACACTGGGTTAGTCGATCACGACTCGCGTCACCAATCAATTTGATCGCGATGTCGTCAAAACAAATCAAAACAGATTGTCATTATTATCTGCAATTTTAGATATTCGGTAAACACGCAATCCCACCACTAACTTGCTAGCTAAACCTTTCATATTTGAGAAATTATAACAAAGCAGGATTCGAATATGGAAGACAAATGTAATCGCGAAAACCAGACCATTTTTACGCTAAACCACCTCCACGCCTGTCTTTCTCAGGTAAGTACTTTGGTATTGTATGAAGTTTTGTAACTAGTAGCGACAGAGCGCCCTCGCACATTTTCTAAAGCCTGAATTCTTCATACTCGTCATTGTGTACTTACGGTGAGGCCCTTTCCGTATCTGCCAACCAAGCCGTTATAACAAAGCAGGACTCGAATATGGAAGACAACTAAAATCGCGAAAACCAGACTATTTTTACGCTAAACCACCTCCACGCCTGTCTTTCTCGAGTGAGAGTAAATACTTTGGTATTGTATGGAGTTTTGTAACTAGCAGCGACAGAGCGCCCCCGTACATTTCATAAAGCCTGATTTCTTCATACTCGTCATTGTGTACACTTACGGTGACGCTCTTTCCGTATGTGCCAACCAAGCTGTTATAACTAGAGATGTACCAATACCGGCCAATTTTTCGGTATCGGCTACTTTGAGACCGGTATTTCCGATATATTTAGCTTCTCAATATGATCCAGAATGTTCTGAAAATGGGTTAGAATACTAAGCTTGAAATTATTTTTTGCTCGGATAGATCGTGAACTATGAGCCATGCACGTCCCCACCCCCGCTAGTAGAAACGGGAATCGGATTCTGACCTGTTTCTAGCCATTTATCAGCCAAACTGGCTCAATCAATTTGAGTATTTTTGCTGCCAAATTTTTATATCAAAGTTTTTAATATTACATGGCAATTATGCAGAAATATATCAATCGAATATTAGTGGATGTTCCGATGTGTAAAATATAAAATACGACGGTATATTGACACAAAATCCTGCGCAAGTATCTCAATGTACCAGTTTCAAATGAAAAGTAGGCTAAACCTTTATTTATTTTACCACCAACAGTAGCCAAATCCTATTAGTTTTCTAATTGAACACCGAGATTACTAGCGCCAGTTCTCAATGCATCTGAATCAAATGCCGCATTTGGATCCCAAACATCTACTTCTTAATATAAATATATGTATGTGATACTTCTCTTTTTTGATCCGAAATAATGTGCACTAATAATAATGTCAAAGACTATTGTTTAAAACCGTCTGCCCTGCATACTTGAGGTAATAATTACATAGTATCGGTATCGGAATATCGGTCGTTTTCTAATATCGGTATCGGCCCTTTTTAGCTGTTATCGGATCGGTATCGGCGACGAAAGTGGTATCGGTACATCCCTAGTTATAAAAAAGCAGGACTCGAATATGGAAGACAAATTAAATCGCGAAAACCGGACCATTTTTACGCTAAACCACCTCCACGCCTGTCTTTCTCAAGTAAGTGTTTTGGTAATATATGAAGTTTTGTAACTAGCAGCGACAGAGCGCCCTCGTACATTTTCTAAAGCCTGACTTCTTCATACTCGCCATTGTGTACACTTACGATGACGCCCTTTTCGTATGTGCCAACCAAGCTGTGATAACAAAGCAGGACTCGAATATGGAAGACAAATAAAATCGCAAAACCAGACCATTTTTACGCTAAACCACCTCCACGCCTGTTCTTCTCAAGTGAGTACTTCGGTATTGTATGGCGTTTTGTAACTAGCAGCGACAGAGCGCCCTCGTACATTTTCTAAAGCCTGACTTCTTCATACTCGTCATTGTGTACACTTACGATGACGCCCTTTTCGTATGTGCCAACCAAGCTGTGATAACAAAGCAGGACTCGAATATGGAAGACAAATAAAATCGCAAAACCAGACCATTTTACGCTAAACCACCTCCACGCCTGTTTTTCTCAAGTAAGAACTTCGGTATTGTATGGAGTTTTGTAACTAGCAGCGACAGAGCGTCCTCGTACATTTTTCTAAAGCCCGAGTTCTTCATACTCGTCATTGTGTACACTTACGGTGACGCCCTTTTCGCATGTGCTAACCAAGCCGTATAGCTGGAATTCATAAATTATTTACGTTATTTGCGTTCGTAAATTCAAAGTGGAGTTACGGAAAGTTGAAGTTTTTCAATGACGTAATCAAGTAGAAAGTAGTCTTGAATGCGTACCTTCAAAGAAAATTTTCAAAGCCAAATTTCGTTGACTCTAAAACCCATTTTGTTTTTTAACATATATACACGTCGAATATGGCGACCGTTGCAGGGGTGAAAAGCGTTCAGCGCCTCGATAAAAATTCCCAATACTATTTGGTATGTACTATAGACCAGACCAGAGGAGGACAAGGTTTTTGGATTAAAGACCGAAAATTTTGCCCACCTATACTGGCGGGACATGTAAGTGTAACGTAAAAAGTTTCATTTTATGAACAATATTTACAGTGTTACAAAAGCAAAAGTTGAAAACAATAAGCCTCGTGCCAAAATTAATTTGATCGTAATCTCAACAACTCCTTGAGCTATTTTTTAGCTGAAACATCAAAATTTGGTTTAAGTTATAGACCAGGGTGGTCCAAACCCAGGCCCAGGGGGCACATGTGTCCCGCCGCTTCATTATCTGTGGCCCGCGTCACATTCGGAGAGTAATCAAAAAATCGCATTTCGTGTTGTTTCTTAATAAAATTAATCAGATTTTGTTTTTGACATATTGTTACATCACTAATGTCACCTAATTGACTAGTGTTATGGCTAGCTGAGGCAACTAGCGAAGCTTAAATGATGTGCTTGGCAGTCTAAATTATTATCTAGCTTTCCATCTTTTTGGTCGGGAATATATGCTACCAATATAGGCATGAAAGAAAACGAATCGAATAGGGATCCTATTAGCCTTGGATGGCTATGTCTGATAACTAATAACTATGTGTTTGCACAATAAAAGTGTTTGTTTTGTATTGCACTGTTTGCCAATTTTTGCCACTATTGTGGCCCGCGAACAATGCAAAAATAAATTTGTGGCCCGCGGAGCCCACAACCTTGGACCACCCTGTTATAGACTATAGAAATACAATTCGTTGTATTTGAATGTGTGTGTTCAGCATTACAAATTTGCAAACATATACAGTTGGATTCCAACTAGCAACGAACTTTCTCTTACTTACTACCAATCACCGAGGAAGGTCAGGCATCACAAATTAAACTAACGGAACTGACAAAAAATGTCAAGGCAAGATATATGGATTTTCATAAAAATACACCCCTATGTATGTCTGTGTCAGTCACTTGTGCGAAGGCTTGTTTGTAGTGAGGGTATTTTCCTCATACATCAACTATTTAAATAAATTTCGACGATCAAGTATTGCTGTTGATGAATTATATGCTTTTATTCATATTTCTGACACCAAGTAATTGTGCCACGTAAAGCAGCCCGGGCCCGACGCAATCATTATTAGCAAGCCCTCGCGCAGCTGCACTTAGCATTTTATTTCGGAATTTTAGTGAGTATATTACGTAGTTTGTTTTCTAAACATTCGGGCGACTCGTTTCCATACCACCATTTTGTAATTGAAGACACAATGGAAATTTTTGTTTGAAATTTCACTCTTTTACACAGCTCGCAAAATGCTGACGGTATCCTAGCGTCCTTCAACCTAGCATCAGGTTCGAGTTTTGGACACGAAACTCCCTCTACTTTGCCAGGTGGTTGAAGATTCCTCCATGTTAAATACTCGAGGTAGGCTGTATCATTTTTGTCCAAATAATTTATATATTTGGATAAATTCTCAGAGCTTGTGAAATCGTCTGCATGAATGAACGAAAATGGTGGTGCGACGCGTTCGACATCGGCCTTCCGAGGACCCCATACCACAGGTACAAGTCCACGGCCTAAGGCTCTCGACCAGAATTTTTCTGTAATATACTCTCGGCACCACAATCCATTTTCAAAGGCCAGGAAGAATTTATATGGACGTAGAAGAGTTGATAGGTTCCCCTCGAACCTTGACCCGAAACATTCGCCATACCTGCAAAGATCACTGCGTATTGAATACATAAATAAATATATATGGATATACATTTATTATTACCCATGTGATACGTCATTAATCAACACGTTTTGCAATGTTTATCGTTCAATTTTACATCACCATATACCATGTGCTTCCCAACTATTGGGTCGCGAAGTATTTCCAAATGTTACATACAGTTTTCGATTAGATAGGAAATTGTGGCATTATCATTACTTACCAATTATGAAACAAACAATGTAATAATTAGAATTATGCGTTGTGTCTCGTTAATAATTTCAGTATGGAAACTATGGATAGGCGACTAGACAGATTGGTAATTTGCTGAATTCGTGTAGAAGGCAAGGACGACGGTTTATGTAATTGGTAATCTTATGTAAAATGAGTTGCATTTTAAATACTGGCTAAACAGGGTTAATATACTTTGTTTGATTGATTCTTGTAAGCCACAAAATGGATAATTTAAAAAAGAGAAAAGGTAACGAAGTAAAAGGAAAGCTCGAAAAGTGGTAGTGAGAAAATATGACTCTGATTACACCAAATGCGGG